AGCCAGGTCACGATCTCGCGGTCCGTGAGTTCGAGCCCCGCGTCAGGCTCTGGGCTGATGGCTCAGAGCCTGGAGCCTGTTTCCCATTCTGTGTCTCCCTCTCTCTCTGCCCCTCCCCCGTTCATGCTCTGTCTCTCTCTGTCCCAAAAATAAATAAAAACGTTGAAAAAAAAAAATTTTAATAAACAGAGTGCAGGAAACAAAGGATGATGGCTGCACGACCACAGAAGAAGTTCACATATTTCCCCGCCTCCTGTCTTAGAATACGTGATTTACAGGAAGTGTTTGTTGTTGCTGCTGTTTCGAGGAAGTCAGGTGCCTGGAGATTAGTTAAATGTGTTTTTCTGTCAGTTTGTCTTATTCAGTCTTCACTTCACTGCAACAATTACGAAAACCAAAAGAGTCAGGAAGAGTGATTGCCTACTGCTGTTCCATAACCTTTCTAGAAAGGACGGGGCGCCTGGGTGGCGCAGTCGGTTAAGCGTCCGACTTCAGCCAGGTCACGATCTCGCGGTCCGTGAGTTCGAGCCCCGCGTCAGGCTCTGGGCTGATGGCTCAGAGCCTGGAGCCTGTTTCCCATTCTGTGTCTCCCTCTCTCTCTGCCCCTCCCCCGTTCATGCTCTGTCTCTCTCTATCCCAAAAATAAATAAACGTTGAAAAAAAAAAAATTTAAAAAAAAAAAAAAAAGAAAGGAATTCTATCTGTGTTGGTATCAGTCTGTACTAACCTTAACTTGCTCTGAGGAGGCAAGCAGTCACGGCAGACAAGCCCGAAGGCAGCGGGTCCGATGTGTGGTCTCTGCTCCACGATTAACGTATGTATGTTCCAGCAGCCTGTGCACCAGAGATGAGGAGACCCAACCTCGGGACTCACACTGGACTGACCAGATCGTGGCTAGTTACAGACAATGTCACAGACCTCAGGCCCTTGTAACCCCCTCCGATTTAACGACAGGAGGTCAGGAGGGGCTCGGCCCCAGTCAACGACCACTCACCTAGGCAGGTGGGCCTTGGGATCTTCTCACTAAGGTGAGGGTGCCGCCCGGCAGGCTCTTCCCCATACTCCGTTGGACCAGTCGGATCAGGCTTGGAACTGGAAATGCCTGGTACACAGAGGGACGACATGAAGCCCAGGTGAATGGGGAGAACTAGGGACCAGTCTGGGTCTGTCAAAGGCACAACCTGAGTGTGAAGAGGAAATAGGAAGGATCTGGGGACCACTTAAAAAACCTTCTCTTAGAAGGCTACTGGGAGCTTCTCAGACACCAGTACTCATGACGTGACCAGGATGTATGGTGAGGGTCACAAGGTGACCGAGAGGGCCTGCCTGCACACCAAGGCTCGCGTTTGGGCGAGCCGCTGCTTCTTGGCCCAGTGGGGCTTAGTGGCACAGAGCAGGGACTCAGACACACCGAGTTCCATCGTTAACTCCGCACTTACGAGGAACGTGACAGGAGCTGACGCTCATTCTCGTCATCCTTCACGCGGGAACACCATCCCCGACCTCGTACATTTAAGGAGTAACCACGCATGATGCAGCCGTGACAGTTCCGGGCACACACGCCCTGCTATCCCCAGTTCCCAGCCATGTCCCCGGTGCCCCCTTCCCCCGAAGAACTTCCATGGAAGCAGCTCTCTCTAACGGACACAGAAAATGTTTAACGTCTGCTCCCACCGGACCGGCCCACACCCTCACCTCCGGAGACCATCTTCCCGTAGGTCTCCAGCATGAGATCCCAGTAATGCTCCTTCTGGACGGACTCCAGGTGCCTCCACGGCTCCTAGAAAACATGCGATGACATGACTCCAACGCAGGTTTCTGAACCCAGCCTTCCCTCCCCTGTAGGAAAGTGGAGGAAAACACGCCTATGCCCTCGCCGCCTGGCCATCAGATGGTCTAAGGAATCACAGGAGGTAGTTCAAGGGAAGAGGCCAAGGGGAAAATGACAGTCTCCACGTCAGTATTTCTTGCCCTGGTTAGAAG